CTCCCTATATCAAAGAGAGATTGTATCTCGAATTTCATGAAATTCTGCGCTAAAAATCTTAAGGGTTTATTTTTGGGTCTTTATAGTTGTTCTTGAAGTTCCTGCAGAACATTCAAATCTTCAAGAAGGGAATTTTTGAAAGAGGAAGAGTTTGATTCCAAAAAGGAAGAAAGAGAAAGTGTAAAACTGTTTGTAAAAAGGGAATTTACCAAAAAAGGGTAAAGAATAAAGTACTAGGTGCAGGGGGGACCACAGGAGTTCAAATTTTGGAACTTAGAAGAAGCAGTAGTGGTCCATTAGGCAAGCTAAAGCGGGGATCGCCTAACCCATTCGGCGCCTCGCCCTTTGGGAAGTTAGGTCACCAAGTTGGTCTTGATTTGGAGTGTGCTACTAGAAATTTCGGTGAGCTAAGCCCTGTTCACCGAATCCACTCGGCGCACCTCCAAATTTCCACCCAAATCGCCAAGTTGCCTTGGCAGATTGTCAAGTTTGGCTAGCCAATCTTCAAGTTGGCGAGCTGAACTGCACGTTTGGCGAAGAAAACAGTGCATTTGGGGATGGGAAACTCATCTTATGACCCTTTCTTCTCAGGTCCTAATTCTAGTTTCTTTTCTTTTGATTCTAGTTTGTTGTCAAGAATCCTAAACTGATTTTCAACTTGTAATTACCTACTTGTTAACTATTGGTTCTTGAATCACTTCCTTGTTAGTGCTTTTCTTTTTGTGTTTTTATTCATTTTACTTCGTAGTAATCTCTTGATTCAAGTCCATTTGCTTTAATTGAGATATCCGTTTTTCTTGAAACAAAAATCCATTCCAACCAAGAGTAGAATTAGTGCTTTTTGTGATCAACTGAGTATTACCAATCTTCAACATTCGCCGCACCAATTTGAGAGGCAATCAAAGGTGTGTAAACACGAGCGATTTTGAATTCATTTTTACTAATGCTAACGTTGTTTGTTCTTTTTGTGAGTTGACATTTTGTAGGTACAAGGAGTTATAAAGAAGCATGTCCTCAATAGCCTCTGACCCCATGTGACTATGATATGGGAGATTATGATTGTGATAATGAGGGCTATGGATGTCAGGATGATGATAAGTATGGGGGCTATGATGATAGCCATGATCAAGAGACGAATGAAAATGAGAGCTACTATTCCAGAGGAGAATATGACAAAAATGGTGAACATAGATCTTATGCATCCTGTGGAAGCTCCTATGGTGATGAGGGAGCATATGAGAGATCCTATTCTCACCCCGAGAGTGAAGATGTTTCATATGATGATGCCGGAACATGATACACTTCCCACTCTTAGGATGAAGGTAAGGTGAGGTATAATACTCTATGATATAAGGATTATTGAGAGAATGCCTGTTAGGCTTATAAAGATTCGTATTCTTACTCTTGTTCTAATCTTTACCCTAGTCGAAGTAGTGTGTGTTGCTACAGTAGCTCAAGTCAAAGTCATTCGATGGGAAGGAGAGAGTGTGCAATTCTAAGGTGTAAGGATACTACATCCTATACTTCTCAACGTAATGCACACTTATCGGGATATGGGAACCGAGGCAGGTATGAAGGATGTGTCAAGGATCTCCACACTAAAATGATTGATTTTCCTATCTTTGAAGGAAGGCGTGATCCCGAAGCATATCTTGATTGGGAGTGGCAATGTGAGCAGACTTTCCAAATCCATGATTTGAGAGGTCAAGATCGACCCTTGTACTCCCTTTTTCATTTGAAAGGTTTTGCATTGGGTTGGTGGACTCAAGAGGAAAGGCTCCTAACACTCCAAGGAAATACCCACCCATTGACATGGGAAGAATTGAAGAGGCTGATAAGGTTCAGGTATGAGCCAAAGAGGTACCTGATGCTTATCGAGACCAACGACACTAACCTAAGGTTCGAGTGTCTACGATCGTCGATAGTATAGTAACCCAACTAAAGGTTGGGGTCGTGTCCAAGGGAGTGATTTTGAGAATTGATAGAAAAATAAAATTTAGCTATAACTAGTCGTAGCTAAAGACATTAACGATTAAAAACATAGTAAATTAAAAGGGGCGACAAAAAAGTGTCAAATATCGATAGGGGGTTTTGTCACAAGTAGTAAACACAACAAAAATTAACAAGAAAATCAAGTATGGGGAAATGTTATTGGGGTCTGACCGCAATACAAGTTGAGATAAATCGGTGGGTACATGCTTTCAATAGGAAATTTGCAAGATAATAGTGACTAGGATAAACTTTAGATGGAAATAAGTTCCCTCTCGGGGCAACTTATCCCGTTTCAAATGGGTTCCTCTCGGACACCCATTTGTCGAATGAAGACCAGCCTGTGCCTTACCCAACTCACTCTCTCGAGCTGAGTGTTAGGATATGGGACTAAGGCTCACCCTCTCGGGCTGAACCTCATGTCGACCCACTCCTTAGGCCATCAATCTCGTGGTCTTGGTTTCGCGGCATCCCTCTCAGACAAGCTGAAAACACATGGGTGGTTTTGTATTTGCAACTACAAACCCATTAAATTAAACCACAACCACTAGGTGAAATCACCATTAAAATACATCTAACCTATCAGCAAGCAAGACCCAACAAGAATATCAACCCATATTTGCTAAATCACACCCCAAGAATGGCGGTTTTTAGCTAGACATCAAGAAATAACAAACTACACCTAAAATGATACTAAAATCAAATGGGTATAAGAAATTAAACCTTAATATAAGCAAA